ATGTTGATGTCCTCGAGACTGGTTCTCAGGAGCACGTGGACCCCTCATGTATCACGTTGTGTACTTGTGTTGCTTTGTTCCACACAGCATCTTTGTCAAGTTTACACGGTTGATGCTCCAAATAAAGAAACACACAAAGAGGGAATACATTTGAAAGTCTAAAATGGAACATTTTATTTGTTGAAATGGGACTAAAAGCTGTTAAAGTTTGGCCCAGTTGTTTTAAAAAATACAAACTGTATCATTCCAGTGACCTTCCTGGGAGCTGTGAGTGTTTTTAGGGCATCAGTGTTGATTAAATCAGACTGGATCATCCTGTGAAGTAACACAATCAGTAAAAACAAACATCACTAGAGAAGATGTGAATATCTTTTGTCTGGTTTATCATCCAGAGTTCACTTGTATAACCTGAGCTGTAGAACTCATTACAATGAAGAAGCTGTTTGATATGAGGGATGTTGTGTGTTTGCAGTGACCACCTGACCACAAGGATATAAATTGTTTTGGGATAGTTATCAATCCTTTTATGGGATGTATTTCCTAAGCAGAAACACTTTATAACATCGTATTAATATTTTGACTATATACTTTTCAGCTAACCCTAAATTCAGTAGTGGGCACGGTTCCGCTAATAGCGGAACTAACTTTCTGTTGAGCAGATTAGCATTTTTTGCTAACTTTGAATACATTTAGCTGAAATAGTTTCCACTAGGCTGATTGGTAACTAAATTGTCTCTAGGTGTGAGTGAGAGAGTGGATGGTTGTTGGTCTCGTTTGTCTCTATGTGTCCCTGTGATGGACTGATGGCTGGTCATGGGCAGCAGTGACCCTGCGACCCGAAAAGGAAGAAGCGGGTAAAGATAATGCATGGATGGATGAAAGGATAGTTCCCACTAAGTTTAAATCTGGTAAATTCAAGCCAGCTAATTATTTTTAAAGACAGTTCTCTGCACTAAAAGCATACAGGAGAATGGCGATGTACATGGAGTAACGCTATGCTGAGCTAAGCAAAGCTAAGCAAAGCTAGACACAGTGACCCCCCCCCCCCCCCCCCACCTAAGCAGTTTGTGACTCATGGTGTCAGTTTACAGCCAATAACAGAGAATTTAACATAAATGCCAAACTACAACAGGAAAATAACATGAAAAACCCATTTTCACACTCAGAAACATGGTAAACAGTCAGAAACATGGTAAACAGTCAGAAACATTGTAAACAGTCAGAAACATTGTAAACAGTCAGAAACATTGTAAACAGTCAGAAACATTGTAAACAGTCAGAAACATTGCATACATAATTCCTGCACAGCATGCTTTGCAAAGCTCACACTGTCTCTGGGATGTGACTCTCTCACACATTTCATACATCTTTACTTGAATACAAATAGATTTATTATTGAGAGAATATTTATGATGACACACTTTGTAGTTAGTTTATAAAAGTATTTACCACAAAGGGGATTGCTAAAGTGAGTACAGGAAATTCATTATAGTAAATGACATGAAGGAGATGTCTGACACACATTGAATGCATCACTCTGCTTCTGCACAGCAGTGTTCTGCTTCGCCTCTTTGGTTCAGATGGACCAGATTAATTTCTCAAAGCTCACCTCTGAATGGGACATGGATGTTTTAACCTGTGATTTATGAACCAATTTGAGTTGTGTTCACTTACATTGCCACTTTACAGACAGTCTTACAGTGTCAGTGACAGCAGCATATGATAAAAGTTAGCACTTTAGCGTTAGCTTATGCAATTAAAAAAAAAATCTGTTTAACATTAACAAAGCTAACTTTTTGATTAGCTGTGTCCACCACTGCCAAAAGTATTTTTTAGGCCTCAAAGATTGGCTTTCTGAAACTGTAAAACTGCTGACAATTTAATTTCTAAGTTTTCTCATAGAAATATAACAAGCAGCAGTTATTTGGCACCACTGGTTTCTTTTGAAAGAAAGCTGAAGATTTTCGTTAACTGATATTTTCTAGTAAAACTTAAACTTAGTTCACGCTGCTCAAACAACTCCGATATGACCAGAAAATGAATGCATTGATTATTGGCTCAAATACTAAATAATAAAGCAATATAACAATCATCAGAATGACTAATATATTCTTTGCTAACTTTCATAACTTAAATTCATTTTTTAACTACGCCTCGCCCATTTTGGTTGTTGAACCCACTGTATGTAGCGATATTTTAAACACAGTTTGTGCTGGAATTCAAGTTTATGGCCACTTTGTACATTCTCAACAGTCACAGCAAAAAACTATGAAAAGTATTCCCCCCTGGATGTCTTATCCTTTATTTCCTGTCATAACTCAGTCATAATAAAATTTTATTTTTGACAACAACAAAATAAAATGGCTTTCAATGTCAAAATGCAAGAAAATTTCAACAGAGCAATACAAAATAAATAAAAAGATGTAATATTTTAAGAGAGGACTGAAGACCTTTTTATTTAAAATATTTTATAGTGTTTAAAAGTATTTTAATCCTGCAGTTTTTTTAATTTTATTTAGTTTTTTAGCTTTTAACATTTTTTAGTCCACATTTTATTCTCTTTAGATATTTTATATTGTAGCATTTTGAGATTGTAAAATTTAAAGTGCATTACAAATTGAATACATTATTATTATTATATAACTGTGACTGCACCTCCTTCTTTGTGAGGTGGCTATCCTACTTCATCTCAGAGAAAAGATGATTAAAATGTACAAGTCAGAGGACAGATAAAATAGGATTTCCAAGGCTCTAAACATCCCCAGGAGTTCTGTTAAATCATTCATTAGGAAATGAAAGAAATATGGAACATGTGTAAATATACCAAGAGCAGGCCATCATCACAAACTAAGTGTCTGTGCAAGAATAAATAGGAAGAGAGACCACCAAGAGGGACTGCATACAGCTGTTGACCTGGTTCTTCACCAGTCTGACAAGCAAACAAAAGACTTATTTAGGAAGAAACTAAGGATTCACGATATTTGATTTTTGGCCGATATATTAAAACTTATTTATCCGATAACTGATATCAATACCGATTTTTTTTTCCTAGACCTAATTACAAAGACTACATAGCTTTCTCTGCTGTGGAATTAAAATACATTGTACTGCATGGTGTTTGTCAGTTTGGCCTGTTACCAAATGCAGATGCCAAAAAGGGGCTGAAAATGATGCAGCACTATATAAACATATAATAAATATAAAAAAAAACAACTTTTTATATTGGTGAGTTATTTTGATGGAATGGCCAATATTTAACTTTAACGCTAACATCGGCCAATACGATCCCGATAACATCGTGCATCCCTAGAAGAAACTTAAATTAAACCTGAAGCAGTGCTGGCTACCAAGAAGTACTTGACCAAGAAGTACTTGACCAAGAATACTTGACCAAGAATACTTGACCAAGAAGTACTTGACCAAGAAGTACTTGACCAAGAAGTACTTGCCCAAGAAGTACTTGACCAAGGAGTCATGACCAAGGAGTCTTGACCAAGGAGTCTTCCACAGACTGTTTCTAAACCCTAATCAATCCTGGGGATGTGTAGAGCCTTGGAAATCCTTTTGTAACCACTCCTTGACTTGCACTTTTAAATAGTATTTTCTCTGAGTTTAAATTGAGGCAGTCACTTTAAAAGGTGTGAACATTTACGCCATCACTTATTTTAACACGTTTTATTTTATTGGTATTACTCTGTAGAGATTTGAGTTCACTTTGACATGGAAATATTAACTTTTAATTATTTTTGTCAAAAAAATATATATATATATCGACCATGATTGATTTATGATGGTGATAAAGGCATTAAACATCCCAGGGGGTGAACACATTTCATAGGCACTAAAACTGCCAAACAAGAGGTGCCACATGGTGCATGTTTGACAGTCAAAGTGATAACATCGTGGTTTGCATGCTGCAAGGTTTTAACCTTTAGTTTGACACAATGTTCAGGTGAGGACTGAAATGCAACACGGACAACAACAACTAGACAAAACATGCAATTTTCTTGGCACACATGTATTAGACTAGGGTTACATCAGGTGTTTGAGTGGCTCATAGCACATGTGTGCACTTGTGTAATGGGGACATCATTTGTTGGGGATTGAAAGTTGCTGCTGTCACTCTCAACCTGTTGTCGTTCCACTACTTTTAAAGAGAAATTTGTGGCTACACCTGTCGGAGCAAATAATAATTTTCCCTCTCAGCATTACACAAACTGAGGTGATGGTGGTGTGTTGAAAGCCACAATAACAAACAGCCGTCTGCACCTCAAAGTTCAAGGCACGGCTGTCTTGTCAGGGACGACAACAGCAGGATGCTGGCTCACACAGCTGCACTGAACACACACTCCCTTCTGGTCAGCTTGACACGGGCACTCGACCTAAACAGCCACACTATCAGAAGATAAACAGCAGAGAGCTCACTGGATTTGCATTTGCATGTTAACACAGGCAGCGCTAGTTTGCATCTAGTTTGCCTGTTTATAAACCGTAGCCTTTAGCTGACAAGGAGCCTTGTGAACATCTGTAAAATATCTGGTGCTTTTCCACACACGCTTGGAAAAAGCAGCGGTGAGCTCACCTGCGCCTCTGGTTGTAAAAATAGACGGCCCAGTGGCATGGAGAAGTGTTTTTATTACCACTGCGGAAGTTCCTGCTGCTTCGCATCTCATCGTTTGTTAGAAAAACAGGCCGGCGGGAGCACCTAGATAAATGGCAACGTCACTAGTTTATTATTATCGGGGAAGCAGTGGCTGAGTGGTTAGAGCAGTTCTCCTCCAATGGGAGAGTTGGGGGTTCAATTCTACCAGCAGTCACATGCTGAAATGTCACTGGAAAAGACACTGAACCCCTCATAGACTCCGATGTGTGTCCCATCGGTGTATGAATGTGATAAAGCTCTGATTATTCTTTGTATAGATCTAGTAGAGCGCTGTATGAATGGGTAAATGAGGGCACAGGTTGTGTTGTAAAGAGTTTTCTAAAGGTGCTATATAAGTACAGTCCATTTAGGCCTGTCACGATAACAAATTTTGCTCTCAGAAATTATTGCGATAAACGATATTGTTTGAAATTTGACAATAATTAGTAATTATTGTCAAATTTAATTTAGTAATTTAATTTAATTAGTAATTGTCAAATTAAGAAATGTTTAATTTGTTTTTCACGTAGTACCTTTTTTGACCATCAGATGGCAGTACAAGAGTGTTTGAACTGAAGGATGGATAGCGAGGGAGTGAGCAGCGTGTCTCTTTAAGAAAAATGGGAGGGAGGCCTCTTGACGTGAGCTGTCTCTCTTCATTTCTCAAAATGGCGGACGCTTGGTGTGGTTTGAGCTCTTTAGCATAACATTTTTCACACAAAGCTTAAAAAAAAACAGTAAACAAGTTCTCAGCTTCTTTTTGCAGAGAAAAACAACTTTTTAGACGAAGGCACGGGTTTCAATCGTGAATTTTGGAGATTCGACAAGACGGAGGTTTTTTTCCCCGAGGTCGGCCTGTTAGCTTAGCTCGTAGCTTAGCTTCTCAGCTTAGCTGCTTTTAACGATCCAAAAACGCAATTTTGGACGGTTAAAACAGATTTTAAAGAGAAAGGGAGGTGTCAGTGAAGAACACCGGAGCTGAGTCTTTTGTCATCCAGTGTCTTCAGTAGAAAGAGAGACGAAGAAACGATAAAGCCGATAAATGAAAATGAGGTCGATAATTGTCATTTATCATGCGATTAATTGATTTACTGTTTACCGCGCCAGCCCTAAGTCCATTGACCATTTATTTTCTTTTTGTTTTGTTCAGGCATCATGAAAAAAGAGGTGAAAGCTGGAGTCAACTTTCTGAAGCGTCTCGCTGTAGCACGAGGCAAGCTGGACCAAGCCAAAGCAGAACTGTTTGCCGAGAAGTTACAGAAGCTTTTAATGGACAAATATGACGAGCACTGGTATCCTGGCTGTCCCAGCAAAGGCCAGGCATACAGGTAATCTTCAGCTATATGAAATCACAGATGTCCCTGAAAGCACTTTGTTTTTCACACAAATATCACTGAATTACATTGTCACTAATAGATTTGAACTTTACCAGATGCATTAGGATAAATAATGAAGCACCCTGTGATGAAGTGGTCCTTAAGGCCTGCGAGGAGAGTGAGCTAACGCCCAGCAGTCTGGGGCTTCCTCCTGAGATAACTCTGTGGATCGACCCAATGGAGGTGTGTGCAAGGTGAGTCACCTGTTGAAGCAAAAATGACAGAAACTTGTTACGACTGGAAGCCTGTCCAATGTTTACGAGCAAGCTGATACCATGACGTTTTCTGAAAAACGTGGGCCTTTTAAATTCATAACTCCCCTACATCTTACAGATCTGGGGAAAACGGCAGGCCCTTCACAATAGCCTGTTTTGAAGATGAGGAGGATGTAAAGGGGGACCGGGATGACTCCTCTGTTAGCTTGGACACGTCAGATTACCACTCTGCTACCTCTTCGGACTGCGGTTCCACGGCGTCGAGCGACACAGAGGAGGAGGCGAAAGATGGCGAGCTGGAAGAGCAAGAGAAACTGAAGGAGGACTCGAGCAAGGAAGCAGCAGAAGGCAACGCCTACACAGTAACGATGGTACCCAGGGTTCGGAGGTGGCAGACAGAAGCACTAAGTAAAGTCAAATACGTCAAAAAGAAGGTAACTTTTCCTGTTTGTGTTTAAGGTCTACTGTTATGTCTTTGACGTTTACTCCCTGTAGTTGTAGTTTTTCTGTGGCAAACCCAGATAGGGTCATTTGTCTGGGGAACAACTTTTCTGTGGCGTCTCAGAAAAAGTGATAAGCCACAGTGCTGCTGGAACGACATGTTCTTTCATTACCATGATTTGAATCGGAAGCTCACACACCTGCTATAAATACTTACTGCAGTATTTTACGACACAAATAAAACTATACTCGGTTACCAGAAAGTTGGAAACTATTCTAAAAGGTAGCAAAACCATACATTTAAAGTTGAACTTTCCCAGACCCTAGTGCAGGTAAATATTTAGATCTTCACTACTCCGTTTTATTGCATTCAGAAATTTTAAATTTATGATTTTATGCCACCAACAAATCTCTCTCAAGTTGTAAACATGTTGTCTCCTTCAGCTTCTACGTCATCAATACTATGAAAAGATTTAACAGGACTGAAAAGGTCGGAATGGCATGAGAACCCATCGTGTCGGCATGACCACGGTCACTGTTTGGGCTTTGTAATAACTTGGAAAAACATGCTGCCTTTGTCCATTGTTGACAAATGTAAACTGCATCTGTATCACACTTTGAGGACGCCACATATCAATTCTGCATAGAAACACTGCTGAGTTCTCGGAGTACGAGCTCATCTGAGATGATAAAGAAGAGAATCAGTTATTGATGAGCAGCTGATACCTTCTGCTGAGCAGAAATGGACATTGATTCTTCTTTCAAAACAACAGCAGTCTGTGTCCTTTGTCTCCAATGGATTACAAGAGCTGCATGTTGCTGGCGTTAATTGTTAAATTTCTTCATAATGCTTAAATGCAGTGATCGGAGAAGGATCTGAATATTTGATTTGGTCTTGCTGGTATTTATTCAAATAAATTATAAAGAGATTTTAGAAAATGTTCCCGCTTCTGTGGAACTAGGGTTTGTGCTTGGCTAAAGAAATGATTACGCAATATGAAAAGGGAGTACAAAGAAAAGTGAAGTTTGGGACTTAGAAGAAAACCAAATGTGCACCATATTGTTGTACTTTGCAAAGGTAGCTCATTAAAACACACGTTTTTATTGTTCTTTTATACTTCTCAGTTGGATTTAGTAAAAAGGAAACACTAAAGGTTAAAGCTCAACATCAGTTATCAGACTGAGAACGCAAATGTTACGACGTTGACGTCTTTGTTGAGTTTCATTTTTACATGTGGCATCTGGGATGAGATATGGACGCTCCAAATGATTCGTGTGCACTGTCTGTTGTTTGTCAGTTTCAATTCTACAAGGTTGTATAAGTTTACATCAAATTCAGTTTAAATTAGGAGAAATTCTATTTTTCTTATAAACGGGTCACTTTTTTTTACAAGAACTTTATTTGTATTTAAATTGATTTTCAAACCATGTTGATTTATTTCTGAATACAAGCTCTTCTATCCAGCTCAACTTTATTTTTTTTACCTTTTTATCTAAACCCTACAATAAACTATTGAAAACTGTTCAAAATGGTTAAAAACAACATCATGTCTCAAGATGATATGATTTGCACTTCATTAAAACAAATCTTTTAAGGACTTGTAGCTGTTGACGCATCAGTTAATTATTGTTTTGGTCATTCATAAGAAAATTATAGCATAAAGGTATCAATTTGTACCAAATAATAGTTTGTGGTAAGATGAGACGATGATTCCTTGAAAAGCTTTCAGACAAACGGATGAGGAGAAAATGTTTAAATAACTGAGTACACACAAATCTGTTTGTTCAGTCATCCTGAAATGTTTCATATGTTTGTCCTTGAATTAAAAGGAAAATCATGTCACCATCTTTGTTGTTTTTAGGTCCCTGCCAGTCTCCACTACTTCTACCATCCCACACCAGCATGGCCTCAGTACAACAAGGGGGCTCCAGTGTTCCTGGCCACAGTGTGCGCACCTCCAACACCACCCCCTCCGCCCCAGCAGGTTTTTGGTTACTACATCTTACCGCAGCCGCCTCCACAGTTCATCCTGCCTCAGGCCGCCCTGCAGCCGTGGGGAGCTGTGACAGCTTAAAGCTTCCAAAGAGCATTATAGCTGCTTCAACTGAGCCATGCTTCAACACATCTCAGAGTTTAGCTACAATCGGACCAAACGGATGCATATTAATATCGTATTTGTAAAGTTCAGATGCAATTCTTGCACAAGCTTTTAACTCGTTTTTTTTTTTTCTAGCTTGTCTTTTAATCAGCACAACAATGAAATAGAGCAACAACGGTTTAATTTGCTGCACTGCTAATTTTCTATGTACTGTATTTAACAAGAATAACTTTAATCGCAGGTGCAGATGAACTCAGGAACTCTTAGCAATTTGTGTGAGGCCAAAATATTGTCCTTGTCTGTCCTCGATTGTTGATCATTGTCAGTTATTTCACCAAATAGAGTTCACGGTGCACAAATTACATTTAATCTTTGTAAAATGTTATTCAGGGGGTTTATTTTGTAGACATTTATATCTGTATATTAAAGAGTTTAAGTCTAAATCTGTATCTAAAGTAACTTGTAAATATTAAACTTGGATCATCAGAGAATAATGCACACTTTTTCATCTTTTGTAATTTATTTGGCTACCAGTAGATGGTGGTCATGCTACACCTGAACATGTTTTTTTAAACAGCATCGCAATCCACTTCACAGATTCCAGACGTTTATTTTTTTTAATCTTCTTGCTTAAGACTGTTTTTTAAACTATTTATTGTAAATATTCTTTATAAAAATCTGCTACAGCTTAACTAAAATGTCACAAATGCATGCTTTATATGATGATTTTAATATTTATTTACTGTTCTGACACATTGAAGCTTACCTTTTTATGATCTTTGCAGAAGAGAGAAATCGTATTCCTGCAGATTAAACTAGTTTGTAACTGAAATGATAAACCGTGTCTATTTGTTTTTTGTGTGAGTTTAATTTGCCTGTGTTTTTTCCTTAATTAAACACTTGTCATGTTGAACTTTTATTAATGCTATGCTGTAGAAGTTGTCACCCAAAAGCAACAGAAGGGAAACAAACTTTATGTGTTGAGTGTTTCAGGCTAAGAGCAAGACATTGTTCTTTCTTGTTTGGCTTATAGGACTGCAGTTTGGTTTATTTATATAGCAACAATTCACATCAAAAGTCATCAGGGGTGCTATACAAGTTCAATACTAGTACAAATTCAAATTAGTCAATTCAACAAATTATAATACAGCACAATCACATATAGTGCATTATAAAATATCATTAAAAAAAAAAAGCCACCAAATTGTCTTTTCTTCATTCTGACCCCACAGCAGCATATTGGTGACAGTGGAAATAAATAATTCCCTTTAAACAGAAAGAAACCTCCAGCAGAACCAGGTTCAGGATGAAAGGACATCTGGAGTTTGAGAGGATGGTAAAGAGTCCCAAACAAACAGACACTTATTGGTCTGGGTGTAGTTTCTATGGAAAGAGAAGCAGAGAACACAAAGTCAATGGCAGCAATAATTGCAAATGCAAACATGGAGAGTAGAGAAAGTACAGTGAGGAAATTATCAAACTGTCATACAGCAGCATAACTAAATAAGTCAAGAATCCCAAACCAGCCATGACTAGGTTTAACAAAAATGACTTTCCAATGACAAAAATAAGTCATTAAAGCAGACAGGGTGTCAGCCTAAAAGGCAGAAACTGGAAGGTGGTTCCACTGAAGATGAGCTTGATAGCTGAACCCAGCCTCCCATACAGTTAGAGACTAGCACAAAAAAAACCTGTGGCAAAAGATTGGATTCATTTTTCATATAAGATGAAGCTCGGTTGTTTCACATTCAGTGTTAAAAGCAAGATTTTAAATTATATTTTGAATTTTACATGGGTGGTTGAGCTGCTGCCTCTCAGTGAGAAGTTGTCTGATTGAATCCCAGGGAGTGAAGGCGCCTTTCATGGGTGGAGTTTGCATGTTCTCTCCGTGCATGTGTGGGTTTTCTATGGGTACTCCAAAAACATGCATGTTAGGCTGATTGGTAACTCTAAGTTGTCCCTATAGGAGTGAGTGAGAGAGTGAATGGTTGTCACTATGTGTCCCTGTGATGGACTGGAGACCTGTCCAGGGTGTCCCCTGCCTCTTGCAGTGGCTGCTGGATATGGGCACCAGTGACCCCCGTGACCCAAAATGGAAGAAGTGGGTAAAAGATAATGGATGGATGAAATTTTAGACGGAACTACTGGAGATGAGCGAAAATGACTTTATACAGTATCTCACACAAAGCAATAAACATTAAAGGGGCTTCTTAACATCTCTACTCTCCATTGATACAAAATGTATTATGAGAAAAAGACAATGCTTCCAGTTAAAAACTGACAATATGTGTTTTAAACATGGGCCTACAAAACAATCAGCTTGAAGGCATGCACTGTTCATGTGAAGTTTATTCTATGGACAGGTCGTTTCATCCTCTGATAGTTGAAGCTCTTTTTTATTGCATCATGTTCATACCTTATTCCAACAAGCTGTCACATTTATCCAGCATTAACCAAAACAACTGAAGAAAACGTATAAAACACCTTTACTGATTGTCCTCCCGCACCTTAGAGGCATTTTTTTTTCCATTTAGCCTTTATTTATACAGGTAGTCTCATTGGGGCGAATGAGGGTGGGGGCAGGTGTGGGTGCTTCACCTACCCCACCCACATTTTTGATGTTGTCGGTACCGGGGCTTGAACCGGCGATCTTCCGATCACAGGCCCACCTTCTCTAACCTCTGCGCCACCACTCCAATTATAAAATCCACCGTGCATGTGAAGATTACACATGCGCGCTCTCGTGTCCGCACGCGCTCGTGTCAGACAGAATGACGCACACTCCTAGAATAATGAGCAAACAGCAGTACATAGCCCGGAGCAGCGCGCAGAATGCATCTGTGTGCGTAACGGTGCCGCGCCGGCTGGTTGGAGAGGAGGCCAAGCGTTTCTGTGACTCCGTTGACTCAATGAGTGAACAGGAGACAGTTCTCCTATCATGCCGTTCCCATCTCGGGGGGACATCTCAGGGGGGACTGGAGAGGCTGAGGTCGGAAGCCTCGTGTGCGCTCTGGAGATGGAGAGGTCGAGTCGCAGCCTGCGCGACGACTCCAAACTGGATTATGATGTGATCAATCGAAACTGCGGGGTGTCTGCTGAGGTGTCCATGCCGCAGACGCTGTCTGGGAAGAGGCACGTAGAGGGGGACAACCTCCACAGACTTCGAGACAGAAAGTTTTTAATAGAGGACAAAAAGCGGCTGTGCGCGCTGGCGCTGAGCACCGCTCTGCTCGGGATTCTGCTGATGATCATCCACGCCGAAATATGCTCCTATGTTATAGAGGTATGTAGGTGTTACCAAGTTATTGTCAAACATTTCTTGGGAAGTTGATCCAGTCAGACTTGTTGATCCAGTGTAGAAGATGTGATTATAGGCTATTTCCAAACACGCACTTAGTTTATTTGGCTTTATGTCACAAGATCAGCTGAAAAAAGAAGCACGCGCCTTTTTTGTTTCCTCTGTATAAATATGTGGTCCTTGAATTTGAGATTATGTCATTGCAATTTTTTTGTTCTGTTTGCAAAAGGTGGGAAATTGAACGTTTGCGTACACCTGCAAAAAATAGTAAGCATCCACCAGTGGTGCCCAGTCCTGGTCCTCAGGACCAATATCCTATACCTCTTTTGCTTCCCAGCTCTTAAGTTCTGCAGAAGTCTGCTCATCCCTTCTTCATTAAAGGCAGGTGTGTCAAAGCAGTGAAACTTCTAGACGTCTGGGTGAAACATGCACAATCGAGGACCTATGATTGAACATCATTGACTTATAAAATAATTTATCTCAGTGTATCAGCTGGCTGAAACATTTTAAGGGAAATTATTTAACTCATCAGATAATAAGTTCAGAAACTAACAAACTATCAAATAAATACATAAATAAATAAAAACTTATGCTTGACATCTTGAAGAATATATATATTTATGGGGAAATAACTAAAAAGCATCTTACCTGTTACAGATATCTCTTTGCACATCCCCAGTTTTGAGACAGTTTAATTCTTACCAAACTGAGGAGCTAACAGCTAGTCAGAGCTGGACCAAGACCAACATGGATTGCTGCCATCTTAAAAATCTCATTGTTATCCATGCAAACATTGTTTAAAACTTTTACACTGCTGTACATTTTGCCACATACTCTGTTATTCTGGCAGGGATGTTATGGAATTGCTGCTGGAAGTATGCCAGGCTACACCAGAAGTGCCACAAAAGTTGCTTTTTTTCATTGTTCATGTTTGTAACCTGGAAAAGAAAAGAGCTGTTTTTGCCAGCACTGTTAACTGCACCAGGTCCAAGGTAATCATTAGCAGTGTTTACAACCATTATTTTATAGTTATTTACATTTGCACACGTAAAAAGCTATAACATTAAATATACATAACCATGTAATTTGAGCTTGGCAGTGGTGTATAGGTATATAAAAAGCATTTGCACAAACCACTTTGAAGTGTTTAGACTGGAATTACTTAAAGATGGCAGCATTTTAATTGGCATCATTTGGACTATTGGCTCATCAGCCAGGTCAGAATTCAGTTGTTTTTGTTTTGCAAACAGGTCATTTAAACATTATCTGAAACAGGTAAGATATTAATTGTTCGTAACCTTTCCACATTACACCACTAGAAAATTTATGAACTATTAAAGTGAAGCTGCATTGTGAAACACCTGTGTTGTTTAGTTTTTCTTATATTTTCATACAAGTACTTTTACTTTAGTCTTGAATATATGTTAACTCATGCTGTCTACTATTTTTTGACACATTTAAGCATCAAAACAGGCTATATTAGGAATAAAAACTTCAATTCCGCACTTATTTCTGTCGTTTTTAACTTTCCTAATTAGCAAACAACACAAAACTCTTCCATCTTTGCAGCAGACTCTGCACCTGGGCTTTGACCCCCTCTGACCGACTGATTAGCAGCTCCATTTCCAGATCCACAGTTTAGTAGCACAGACTCATGACATTAACGCGCAGATCTCAGTGGATCGCAATTACAGGCCACGCAATCAACCAATTAATAACTTCTTCCATGACTTCTAACCGCACACACCAGTTCGACATGTGGAAAAAAGTTCTCGTGCAAGCTGCGCTCCTTCACAATGAACTGCCGGTGATTGATTACAGCGTCAAATAGGGCCCCTCGTTTCCAGAAAAAACATCAGGCACACTCCTCTGACAGACTGAGGGAAGCACTGCTTATGATTGCCTTGGACCTGGTGCAGTTAACAGCGCTGGCAGAAACAGCTCTGTTCTTTTCCAGGTTACAAACATGAACAGAGAACAGGTGCTGTCCAATCGGCCTCACCCAAAATGGAAGGAGTAAATCTTTGAAGCCATGGAAATGCTGATGCACTGGAAACGTAATCAGTGGTGCAGTTAAAGCACATTATTTTTAAGACGCGGCGCCACCAGTTCAAACATTGTTTGAGCATTTGTCTTTACACTTCACAAGATGACCATGAGTTTCAAAATGTAGTTGATTTGTGGCAAATTATTCCCTAAAAAATAAAACTTTTGCAGTATTTAGAATAACATTTTGGGGCTACAGTTTATCACCATTGTCAACAACTTCCAAAGCTTCATTCAAGCATACCTTTAAATGATTATGATTGAAATCGTGGCTATTTATGGAACATTTTTCCACATTTCACCTCTTCCCCCTGCAGCAAGATTGCTAACAGCACTCCGGGCTATCTTTCCACATCATTTAGTTTATAATTATGGTGTTTTCATGGCCAGACTAAAAAGTTTCTCCTTCCTGATTTGGGCTGTGCTTTTAGCCAGGAGTGTGCATTTCTGATTGTACGGATTAGATGCAACCTCCTGTCATCTTGCCGTTAAATTTACTGGAATACTGTTATGTTTGAAAACAGCGTTCACACACTGGGACTGAATGTCCAAGTTTTTGGGGCCACGTGATTTTGGTTAAATCTTTTGATTCCATTTATGATCCAGAACTACTGAAACACTTGATGAACAATTGATGGCACAATTTCTTTACATAAAGCAACAGAGAAAACACAAGTGTGTAAAATTCCTTTGAACATTCAGGTCACCCTTTTTTCCCCAACACATTCGGATTCAGAAAGCACCATCAACTTTATGTTACAGATAAACGTTCAAATTTGATTTTATATAAATTGGAGCACATTAAAAAAAAAGGCAAACATTATTTTAAGTAGTTTTTGTTTTGGATGTAACATACAGTTTGATACAAGAACTATAGCTGTCATAATATGCAGTCAGTTTTAAAACTCAGTGAAGATACTTATACTGCATGGATCATAAGTTTTAATGGTCTGAAATGGCCTACAATTGAATATACTTCGATTATTTCATTAATTTAATTGCATTTTATTTAATCACAGACTGTACATATAAATACATTATATATAAAACAGAATAACTGATACACTCAGCATAGACCTTCCTTAAAAGCTAAAATGTATTCAAAAAATATTGTTGTTGGCAAAATATTCAGAATAGGAGGGTTCTTGGGGGATAACAAAGTTTAAATGATTCTTCTGCATTAAAAATAATACTACTAAATTGTTTTATTTATTCAATGTGTTTAAATCTTGTTTGCATAATATTACAGGTTTTATAACTGATAGTTATAAGAAAACAAAGCATTGGAGACGTGTTCCTTTAAGAGCCTGGAATCACAAACAGCCAAATAGCAGAAATCGTCTATTTTCCCTCTGATCAATACAAATGATCTATTTACAACTTTTTGTCAGATTGAATAAGACAATAAGGCAGTTAGTGCAGCTCAGAGACAAATAACATTTCTTAAACTACTGTGACGCTCCCAACATTTACCTGTTCAATAACTCTGCAGCCTCTTTGCACTTACATTCTGTATATGAAAGCGTTCTCTGCACATGTTTGGTACTGAATATCCTGGTGTGGGGCATTTCATTATTATTACACAACCTTTATGTTGACACATCATCCTCTATTTTTAAAATACGAACTGAGCCAGTTAGCATTATTTTAGGAGTTTAACTTTTAGGTTTATGTAGAAGCATATTGCTTCAACCAACCAACCGACCCTTCGACTGTCCGTCCATCCATCTGTCCATCCATCCGTCCATCCATCTGTCCATCCATCTGTCCATCCATCTGTCCATCCATCCATCCATCCATCCATCCATCCATCCATCCATCCATCCATCCATCCATCCATCCATCCATCCATCCATCCATCCATCCATCCATCCATCCATCCATCCATCCATCCATCCATCCATC